GTCCAAAAAGTTGACAAGGTAGGCGTCCAGCCTCTCGCGGCCAGCGAGGCCCAACGCAATGACAATGCCAAACATGACGACCTGCCAAATCACACGGGGAATGTACCCCAGCCAGGGCGATACCTGCATGAGACTGAGGGGCGCACTGTACGTGCTGAGACTGTTCATGCTAATGCTGGCGAGCACGAGCATCACAAGAAGGAACTTGGCAAAGCCTGTGGGGTACAGCATATCGCGCAGAAGGAAGCCGAGGCCATTGTCCTGGTACGTTGCCCGCCAGTCAGGATGTGTGTTGAGGGCGCTGGCTATGAGAGCGCCCGACCACATGCTAATGCATGTAGAGAGGAGGATCCCGATGAACGAAAAGGCAAACACCTTCCCGCGATTGATGTCTGCACGGTACACGATGTAATAATCAGATGCGAGGGGCGACCACGACGCACTCCAGCCATACACAACCGCCAGGAACGACAGAACGGCACCGGCCAGCGGCGTCGTTCCTTGTGCCTTGGCAGGCGTGTGATTGTCGGCAAACCCGCCTGTCTCGCCGATGATGATCAAAAAAACGATCAAGAATAAAATCCACGCATATCGCTGAAGAGAAAGAAGGACACGAATCCCAAAGAGACCAATGAACAGCGATACCACAGCAATAATAATGATGCCCACAATCACCGAGATCCCGCCGTCCGCCACGGCAACTAGCGCGAGGCCACCGGTAATGCACCCTACAGCCGACCAACCAATCTGCTGGATGGTATTGAGAAGCGCAGGAAGCTTGTTGGGAAACCATCCGAAACTATACCGCGAAATGGACATTTGACGAAGACCCATCGCAGCGCCGAAAGTCGTACAGTATGCCGTTACAGCGCAGCCTATAAACAAGCCAAAGAAGATGCAGATGAGCGCCTGCTTTAAGTCCAAGCCAAATTGCCAGCCGAGCATACCCGTCGCGAAGCTAGACAAATTCATCGTACTTGAGGCCCATAGAAATATCATATCCAGTTCATAGTACCATTTTAGAGGCTTGCGATCCTCGGGACGTTTACGCTCAATGGCCTCCGTCTCAACACCCATCTTGCGGTCCATCCATGCCTCCAGACGTAGGAGTGGGGCAAAAAAGCCTCTGTACTCTTTGGTGGGCCCCTGCGAGTCATATACATGACGCTTGCCTTCCATGGGCAACGTTGCCGACAGTGCTTTGTCTGTCTCCAGCGGCTTTGAGAGAGACTCCATGAGGTAATGTGGGGCACACAGAGTGACTCAGATTTCACAAGGGCCGGTAATTTTATTTAAAAAATGCTTATATTCATTCCCACAACAGGGACGTCCAACGTGAATGCTGCAAAATCACAGATAGACTTTTGGCTGAGCTTGCACGTGCAGGGCAGCTATTAGTAGCAGCCGCATTTGATTGGCTCTCCCCCAGCCCGGGAGGGGCTAGGGGCGAGTGCAAGTCTTTTTTCTCTCTTGGCGCCATAGCACGCGGGTAAACCTCCAGGGACCCTACCTGCGTGTGTATACCTTCTAAAGCTTAGCTATTTTCACATGTGACGGTGCTGGACGCGGGGGCGAGTGACTGGACGGGGTGATATGCATGCCGGGGAGAGATAAAGTTTTGGGCTTTCCATCTGGGCGCTTTTTTCTTTGATAGGCTTCCGACTGAGCCTGCTAGCTCGCACTCTGAGCATACACTATGGAAATCGACCCGGAGAACCGACTGGAAGCGCTCTCCTCAGACAACACCACTGACATTGAAAATGAGGGCGAAAAAGCGCTGTTTGACAAGAAAGAAAAAGAGTTTCGTGGTTTATTTGCTCCGTTGCTGCGCCTCGAAGCATGGATGGACAAAAAGA